CCCAGTGCCCAAGTTTTCAAATGGTCAGTCCGCCCCTGGTATTGAGGCAGGGTGTTGTGATGCTTCAACCTCTTGGCGCCGACCGAACGCAAATGTACGGCCTCCCAGCGTCTGGGCCTAGACGCCGAGCGGCCGCACATTTGCGTTCTTTTAAAAAAAAAAAACATGTGCTGAGAGCGTATGCCCTGCGCACTTCCAGCACACATGTTCGGTACGCACGGAAAGGTCCCGATCTTCTCTTTCGATCGAGACCTTTCCCGATCATGTGACAGCGAATCATGGCGGTCACATGACCCTAAAACCCCGCCCCGCCTCCTGGAACCCTTAAAGGTCCAGGAGGCGTCGGCGCCAAGGGGTTAAGGAAGTTATGAACAGCACCCTGTAAGCGTCTCCCGCCAGCCATGATTTGCCTGCATGGCATAGAGAAGCACATAGATCTAGTGATAACATCACTGGTTTTAAAATAGGTATGTAATGAAAATAGAAAGGTTTCATTTCAAATTTGCATTAGCATGTTGATGGGGGGGGGGGGGGGGGGGCGGGGAAGGAGGAAACAACAAAGGCAAAATATAAAGAGATCACATTTTAACAGGATATATTGTAGTATGGTACTCAGAACTCAACTCGCACTGGTCTGGTTCTTTCAAGTAAAATCAGAATGGTCCTGAATAAGGCCAACAGTTCCCTAAGTTCTGAGGGCACAGTGTGTGAGCTCAGGTGGGTGACAGGCAGCGACTGTCCCCAACACCACAGCTAATGTGTCTGGCTGTGACAAACTAAGTCAAGTGAAATAAGAGGAAACAAATCCTAAGTAAACCACCAGAGATATAATAGTGACAGACTGAGCATTCAGATTTGTGCATAAATCCAGTAGTTACAGGTTCTCTTTAATTTAGCTCCTTCAGTATACCCAGGAAAATCAGACAAAACTGTAGATACAAACTATCTCTTATCCCAAGGTCCTCTGAGGGAAGAACCAGATAATCAAAGCTCTATTTCCAAGGCAACTTTCTTTTATTTTCTTGACAGTTTTTCGCAGATGCGGAATAGAGAACAGAAACTCGATCGAAGGAAAGCATCCCACTAGATCAGTGTCCTCTACAGACTAACCCACAACTGGCTGGCAGAAATCAGCATGGAGTATTAATGTGTAAAGCTATTTTTCTTTTAGGGCCAGTTCACGCAGTCTGGATGCGTTTCTGCGTGCGTGTTTTTAAAGTGTTACTAAACTCACAACAGAAAAATCAGTCTGTATATGCAGTAAAGCTAGCTTGTTATACTCACTGTGGAACCTAGGGGGTCAATCCTGTGCAATGTGTAAAAAGGATGTTTGATCCTCTTCTCTGATCCTCCCATTCTTCCACTCTGCACATGTTCACTTTGGTGTGTATGCTCAGCTTGGTGTGTAAGGGGTTAATCCTCTGCATTGTGTAAAAAGGCTGTTTGATCCTGACTTCTCTGCCCCTCCTCTTGTTCAAATGTCCACACTGATAATACAGACTGAGCCTGTAGCCCTTCTGTACATGCTCAGTTTAGTGTGAATTGCTAGAGTTTTTTCTTGGGAGGGTGCATGTGATCAGCACTGTCCAGATAAAAAGTCAGGGGCTATGCAATCTCATAGACAGTCATAGGAGAATGAAAACTCCTACAAGCTTTAACCAGTGCACTGCTGGACACTGATAGAAGTCACAAGACTGTTCTAACTGCTGATGAGAAAAGGTATTTAGCATTTTTATATTAGCTAAAATAATTGCATTTCCATGGTCTGTGTATTCATTGTGTAGTGAATGTAGGGTCCTGGGTTTAGTAACACTTTAAAGCATTTTTTTATGCATTTCGGTGCCTTTTTGACACATTTTTGATGAATTCCAGTTAATTTTCTTCTAATTTTTTTCTTCAACTTAATAAAGAGATGTACATTCTGGCGTTTTACTGTGTTCCAGTACAGTTCACAAAAAATACAGCATGTTCTACATTTTTTTCTGGAACTGGAACCGACCGCACTGATGTGAAGTATGCCACTGGAAACCATAAAAGCTACTATCCATGCATTTTTGAAGCAGAAAAAGTGCACTGGACTGCATGTGGTGTGAACTGGCCCTCATAACGGAAAATACAGTAACCTCCCTATTTTTGTTTTGTTTATTAATACAATTCCAGGTGCAATACTGAAGATGTATAAAAAGGAACAAAGTTCTATTTCAATCAGATATGAGGGATGAGGGTCCCTCTCAAAGATGCATATTCAGGTTATCCCACATTACCACATATTTGCTGCTACTTGATGAAGTCACAGCAGATGCCAATTAAAGAAATACTTATAAAAGAATCTACCTGTTATTTATACTGCAAGCATGGTAAATCCAGTGTAGACCAGAAATTACTGAGCCAGTAGATTTTTTCCCATTATATAAAACTAGTGGTAAAAAACCCAGAACAGAACTCCAGACAAAGCCTAAAAGTAATTAATACAAATGGAAGATTTGAATGTGCTTGATATGAGTGCACTGCTCAATGCTCCATTAGGCTTTGGCCTCACAGCAGGACAAGGAGGCTGGCTGTGGCCCAATACTGCTGTGTGTGAGCAAAAACTTGCCAGTCGACTACCTTTCAAAAAACCTGCACTGATTTAGGAAAAACTAGTTTTTACCTTCAGGGCAAGTATTTCAACAATGAAAAGATTCTAAAATGATTATTCAAATTTACTAGAAGATCCTTTCTAAAAAGTAAATGTCCACCTAAAACAGAAATATGAAGGCACAATTTAATCTTTTCAATCATTTACTGCTTTCTCATATTTCTTAAAGTCTCCAGTGGTGAGATCCCAATGATGGAATTCCAGGTTTGCCCCTCGGATAGCCAGTGATATGTTGCTTGGCAAAGTAAAGTCTGTCCTGCTCTGGTTACAGAATATAGAGGCGCTGGGGAACCTGTAATGAGATCCCTATACTTATCTATCAGCTCAAAACTAACTATATAAATCACACTCTTGAAGAAAAGTTATTCACTTCCACCCTTGAAAGTTAATCAAAAATTATATATAAACACCTTTTCTTTATACAAAATCAAATAGCTATACAAAATGTCCCCAATGTCTTCAATCACCATATGCAATTCCACAAAATAAAGTCTTTTTCTTCTTTCAAAATGAATCTCTCTCTTAGTTCGTGAAGTTTCCAATGATCATAAACCTCAAAAAAAAAACAAAACTCAAAATAGTGTCATACCCTTTAAAATATGTGCCACTCACTGTGAGTCATGCAAAACACAAAACTAGTGCAAAACAAACAAAAAAAAAAAAGAAAAATGTATATATATATTAATATACACATATCAGGGGCGGACTGACCATTTGGAAAGTCGGCACTGCCCGAGGGCCCGGGGTCAGTAGGGGGCCCCATGAGATGCCCCTGGTATCTTTTTCATAGGCACAGGGGCCCCAAGATCCCCTATTGCCCGGGGGCCCCATGAGTTGTCAGTCCGCCCCTGACACATATATATCCAAATCCTCCAAACGTGAAAAACACTCCAATTGTGTCCACTACAGCAAATCAGTAAATCACTCAAATAATGTGTATAACCACACTATATCCAAAAACAGTGTTCACCTTAAGCCCATGAAATCACAATATAACACTCAAACTCTGTAACAGTGAATAATGACCATATATATATATATATATATATATATATATATATACATATCAGAAGGGCATATCATAAGCTAGGTTGACATCTTTCTTCAGGATCCAACTCAGTTCTCAGATTTCTCCTCCATTTCCCTCATAAATGAATCCACAATTAAATATGGTGGGTAAAATATACTAATTTATTCAGCAACTTACATTTAAGATTGTAGAAAACAACTCCTCATAGCAAGTTCACCGGAAGTGCGATCGCGGCCATTTTGGAAGTGGGAACATGTGGTTGTTCCCTTGCTTCACAAACACAGAGTGGAATTGTCTTTGCTATGAGGAGCTGTTTTCTCCAATCTTAAATGTAAGTTGCTGAATAAATTTGTATTATATTTTACCCACCATATTTAATTGTGGATTCATTTATGAGGGAAATGGAGGAGAAATCTGAGAACGGAGTTGGATCCTGAAGAAAGATGTCATCCTAGCTTATGATATGCCCTTCTGATATATATATATATATATATATATATATAGGGTAATTATTCACTGTTACAGAGTTTGAGTGTTATATTGTGATTTCATGGGTTAAGGTGATCACTGTTTTTGGATATAGTGTGGTTATACACATTATTTGAGTGAATCACTGATTTGCTGTAGTGGACACAATTGGAGTGTTTTCACGTTTGGATATATATGTGTATATAATATATATATATATACATAATTTTTTTTTGTTTTTTGTTTGTTTTGCACTAGTTATGTGTTTTGCATGACTCACAGTGAGTGGCACATATTTTATAAAGGGTATGACACTATTTGGAGTTTTGTTTTTTTTGAGGTTTATGATCATTGGAAACTTCACGAACTAAGAGAGAGATTCATTTTGAAAGAAGAAAAAGACTTTATTTTGTGGAATTGCATATGGTGATTGAAGACATTGGGGACATTTTGTATGGCTATTTGATTTTGTATAAAGAAAAGGTGTTTATATATAATTTTTGTAATGAGATCCCACCACTGGAGAGTGTCTGAAGGGTACGTGTGACCCAACACCCATGGCTCATCCCACAAAAAGAATGTCAGTTATAGGTTGAATTGAGATATCACCACAATTTTTTTTAAACGGACATGGCACCAGGCATTGCCCAGTGACTGCTGAAAAAAAAAAAAGGAATATCCATAATGCTGCTCTGGCTTGGTTCCATAGCATGGAATAATACAACCTCTATGTGGCCATAGTGGAGTCCCAGGACCGACTGTAACATGGTGGGTCTGCTAGGGGTCTCCCAGGTTTAGGAAACTATTAGAACACTTTAGTCTATAGAAAAAGTCTTCAGTCTAAATCTAGAATAGTCAGCAGATTCACCGTACGATGCACACATCCACAATACAGAATCTGGCTCGGCAAGTAGGACAAGGCACTAGGCTGGACAGCCAGGTCTCTGGATGTTGCTGGTCCTGACGACTAGCAAACCACTTTCCCATGCAAGTAAGGCACCACATGGGTCGGCAGTAACACTGTTGGCACTCTCCCTCATCGGGCTCATGGCAATTCTTGACGAGCTTGATGTTGGCACTGGTCTGCATGCAGCCAATACAGGGCTCCAGCTCCTGTGAAGAACAAAATACGCATGTCATTAACACATAACTAGGCCCATTTATCTAAGTAATTGTGGAACAGGAAGTAGTAGCTATGACAATCAAGCCTAAACATCAGGTGACAATCTCTCGATTCAGCCAATTCAGGTCTAATGTATATAGGGCATTTGCTGGCAACCCTGGCCTGGCTCATCGAGGGAAAACAGCAATCAGCCAGGTTAGAGAATCATATCCAATCCAGTTGTATCCCCCTGTGTGTTGGAGGTGTCTGCAGCACGTCTTTCCGGCCATGCTCAATGGGCCTGACAAAAGTGTTTGTTATCTGGGAGGCATTGGCCAGTTCAGGTCCCTGAGGTCAGTCAGCTGAATTCCTGTCCAACTGCCATTCACTTTCTATGGCCTTTGAAACAAGACTAAACTCAGCGATATTAACCTATGTTTCAATGGTCCAATTCCCATGAGGTCCCTCACTGGCAATGTTTCCCCGATTTCTTCTTGGTGATGGTCTTGGGTCATCTTGATTGGCCGGCGCAGGATAACATCACTTTTGTGCATGTACAGGAGTGTAGTCATCCCGGTAAATTCTACAGACAACTGTGAGTAGGCAGGTAGGTTTATTTATGCAAAAATAGGATTTGTTTTATAGCCTGCCTGCTCACACTTATTTATTAGTAGACTTCAGCTTTAAAGAGGCAGATGTGCAGTGCTGTTGCAGTTAGGCTGCAGCACAGATGCACTTTTTTTGTGCGCTTTACCCGCGGTCCCATAGACTATTAGGTTGCGTGTTTTTGCCATGTTTTTAAAAGTGCACCAAGGATGCAGCATGTAGGACTTTTGGTGTACTTTCAGAAAACATGCCAAAAATGTGCAACATAATAGAAAGCCTATGGGACCATGGCTAAGATGTGCTAAAACCACGGATACACCCGCGTGACCGAACCACAGTGCACCAGTGTGAAGCTGGTCTTATCAATGCAACTGTGCCTCAGATCAGCAGATTGCATTTTGTGTGCAAATATGTCAGAATTAATTTTTGGGTCTGTTTTGCAACCAAATCAACAATTGTAGTTTTCCGTAATCGTACGGCCAAATAGTGACTGTCTGCCTCTGTTTTCTATTGCACTGCACCTGAAGAAACCTCTATTTTAAAGATGAAATTCAACTTCATAACTGTGGCAGAACTTAGATGTGGTACGGGTCATTTTTTTAAACACATGCAGATATGTTCATTTTTATTGTGGCCAATTTATTATGCAAAAAAAAAAATCTGGTCCTAAACTTTATTTTAAATTATAGAAATGACATATTAACCACCACAACCATTTGGAGCAGTGGTCTCCAAACTGCTGGCCATTATCCGGCCCTTGGGGTACTTTTCCTTCCAATGATATGAGGTACTATTCCTGCCACTGCCACTCACACCAATGATGGGGCACTGTTCCTCCCACTGACACCAATGATGGGGCACTATTCCTCCCACTGACACCAATGATGGGGCACTATTCCTCCCACTTACACCAATGATGGGGCACTATTCCTCCCACTTACACCAATGATGAGACACTATTCCTCCCACTGATACCCATAATGGGGTACTATTCCTCCCACTGACACCAATGATGGGGAACGTTTCCTCCCACTAACACCAATGATGGGGCACTACTCCTCATTCTACTGACCACAAACCCTGAGGTCATGTTTATTCTCACCGATGCTGGGCCTGGGACGTTTAATACCCCCACTGGACACAATCCGGCCCATCTAAAGTCTGAAGAACAGTAAACTGGCCCTTTTTCTTGAAACGTTTGGAGACCCCTGATCTAGAGCAAAACATTGCTGTAGACATAAAGCGCAACCAGGAAGTGTGTATGTGTAATATATATATATATATATATATATATATATATATATATACACACACACCGTATATACAGTAATATATATATACGTATGTGTGTGTTATGGTGATGTGCATAAAAGCAACATATCTTGCATGCACGAATGTGCTGCAATGCTATACATTTTCAACATGGTGCACGTCAGATTTCTGGTCCATCGTGGTGTTGTCAGCTGATTCAAATGATTTGAGTGCATTGGCATAGTGTTCAAATGAGTGGGCTGCTTTAACTCAATGCATGTTAGGCTAGCCATACATTATACAATTTTCTTGTTCAATTTCCATTAGATTTACCTTCAACTATGTAGTACAAGGGCCTGCCTGATTGCATACAAATTGAAAAAGTGTTTAGGTTTGACCCCATATTATATGGCTTTGATAAACCTAAAGGAAAATTGTATAATGTATAGCCAGCCATACCCTCTACTTTCACACAAGCAAAATGTTCCTAAAACCTTGGAAGGGGGGGATTTGTCATTCACCCATCCTCTGGAACTCCCTTTCAGATTATCACCTACTCTCCTCTCCTTTAGGCGCACCCTGAAAACCCATCTCTTCAGGGAAGCCTACCCCACCCCCTGCTAACTTGCCGACCTCCTCCACTCTTCCTACCTCTCCATCCCCCACAGCTATCTCCTCCCCTACCCTAGTAGACTCCCAAAAGCTGCATTGTATAAAGAAACATTGCTGACTCAAGAGGATGGTGCTTCCTAGGAACTAATCCAAGTCTCCCCCTATTATTTAGGCAGGCCATAGATTATGGGTTGCAGGAAAGAAGATCGCTCAATTTCCCCATCAACACTAGACTAATTAAACACAAGCAGCTGTCTCTTTGCAGGAAGGACACAATGATTTTGCTAGTGGCTATCCGGAAGCACAATGATATTGCTTGCTAAAAGTCTGAAATGGTGTTTGTACCCAAGTCGATCAATGGATCTACTTGGGTACAACCAGTCTGCCCATAGATGGATCGAATCTCGTCCGATCGCTGCTGAACTGGCTGAGATTCAATCCATCTATGGCCGGCTTTACCAGTAATGTTTGTAACTTAGTTTTGTATTTCCTGCCATATGAAAAGCCCTACTACCTGAGAACAGTTTGGTGAGCTGGGTCGAAGACCAAAAAGTTCTTTATTCTACTTCTTGGCCCTATGTGCCTGGGGATTGCTAATATCGGTTCTGAGCCTTATCAATGCAATGACAGTGGATGTTTACTGTACCTTCTTTTTTAAAAGAACTTTTTGATTTTGTAAATTGTTTATCTACTCCTTTTCTGTGCTCATGCAAAACTTAAACAGATTAAAACATAAATTTCAGCTTGAGCTAATGAACTCTATATAGGAGCTTTTTCAGCAACAAGTAGGTAGTGATCGCATGAGAAAAGGAGCCAGATTACAAAGATCAACCAGGCTTAGAGGAAAAAGAAATATTGCTATGCAGTTATTTATATTTATGTGAAGAAAAATAAATGTAAAATGCTATTTTTATTCCCGATTGTTAACACTTTCTTTTTAAGCTGCTTTTTAAATACTCAATCCCTTAGCAATGTATGGGGTAGTCAAGTGTTTATGAAGAAAACAATACAAAGATAACCAGGGAGTAGCAGTATTTCTGTGTGTATGCCAAAATCTTGGCGAGGTGTCTCCAAAAGTCACCATGAACCAAATCCTAAAAAATGTACAGATCTGACACCTTCTATGTCTAATGCAAAAGATTTATTTGATAATTTGCATATAAAAATTAATGAAAAATTGATTCCAGTGCAATAGCCCTATGTATCCCCTCCCTTCCCTGTCCAATGTCACTGATCCCTCCTCCCCTGAACTACCTACCCAACCTATTTGTACCCTCCAATACCCCCTTTCCCTAAAAATGTCCCCCAGCATGATGGATAAAGATGTGACACCCTAGATAGGTAGGTTGGAGGGATATTGGACAGGGAAGGAAAGGGATACATAGGGCTATTGCACTGGAATCTATTGTTGTTTCATTTTTGAGTGTAAATTATCAAACAAATCCTTTGTATTAGCCATAAAACTAAACAAATGTTATGGCCTACAATGGCTTTCGAATATGTGTTCTGGTGACAGGATACTCCTATTACTGCCTGGGGCCAAAAAGGGACAAAGCAGAGGAATGCAAGCTGACATTTCCAGCTTGTTGACTCATTTCCTTTCATGTTCCAAACTGAGCAGGTGTTTCCAACAACATGCTGACTTTACTATAAATTGCCATGAGTGGTAGGTTCTTGTGATTTCAACAACAATCATAAAGTCACCCTAATGCTAGGTTCAGAAAGTCACTACATGAGGTTTAAAACAAAACTGTAGAAAAATGAGACAACTTAACAAATGGCTATAGCCTAGCTGGGATCACATATCTCTTGCTTTATAATGTGCCAACAGAACCCCCTTCACAGGATGTTCACTTACACATAGTCCATGTCTCCACTGGCCGCTGCAATACCCAGATTCCCTTTAGGAGGCCTGGGCATTGCCACATGACATACAATTGTCTACAGCCAATACAGGCTTTCAGAAAGTCTGCATAGGCAGGCATAGCCAAATCTCTTGATGAGATCCTGTGACAGCCCATTAGTAGTACTAACCACCACTGCACCAGAACGATTATGGCGGAGGGGTGAGGGCAGGACAGAGGAAGATTACTAGTAACAGCAGAGGAATCAGCACAAGGGACACATCCTACTGACTGTAAGTTATGTCTCTTGTATTGATTTTTCCGTTTTTGATTGTTTGTAGAAAGACAGAAGGCACTCTACCTCTCTCTATTCTTGTTGGACTGGAAACACCAGTGCTCTGGCAGGAGTGTATGTTAACTCTCACACTGCTGATCAACAAGAGGAAGCCGGCAACACAATGACATATCAAAGCTTAAAGTGTTTCTAAACCCAGGACCCTGCATTCACTATATCCGGTCTCCCAGACCCTGCATTCACTATATCTGGTCTCCCCTGGACTCTGCATTCACTATATCTGGGCTCCCCGGACCCTGCATTCACTATATCCGGTCTCCCAGACCCTGCATTCACTATATCTGGTCTCCCTGGACTCTGCATTCACTATATCTGGGCTCCCCGGACCCTGCATTCACTATATCCGGTCTCCCAGGACCCTGCATTCACTAGATCTGGTCTCCCCGGACCCTGCATTCACTATATCCGGTCTCCCAGGACCCTGCATTCACTATATCCAGTCTCCCCGGACCCTGCATTCACTATATCTGGTCTCCCCGGACCCTGCATTCACTATATCTGGTCTCCCCGGACCCTGCATTCACTATATCTGGTCTCCCCGGACCCTGCATTCACTATATCTGGTCTCCCCGGACCCTGCATTCACTATATCTGGTCTCCCCGGACCCTGCATTCACTATATCTGGTCTCCCCGGACCCTGCATTCACTATATCTGGTCTCCCCGGACCCTGCATTCACTATATCTGGTCTCCCCGGACCCTGCATTCACTATATCTGGTCTCCCCGGACCCTGCATTCACTATATCTGGTCTCCCCGGACCCTGCATTCACTATATCTGGTCTCCCTGGACCCTGCATTCACTATATCTGGTCTCCCCGGACCCTGCATTCACTATATCTGGTCTCCCCGGACCCTGCATTCACTATATCTGGTCTCCCCCGGACCCTGCATTCGCTATATCTGGTCTCCCCCCCAGACCCTGCATTCACTATATCTGGTCTCCCCTGGACCCTGCATTCACTATATCTGGTCTCCCCGGACCCTGCATTCACTAGATCTGGTCTCCCCGGACCCTGCATTCACTAGATCTGGTCTCCCCAGACCCTGCATTCACTAGATCTGGTCTCCCGGACCCTGCATTCACTATATCTGATCTCCCCGGACCCTGCATTCACTATCTGGTCTCCCACAGTACACAATTTATTAGTAAATATAAACTGCTAAATACCTTTTCTCATCAGCAGTTAGAGCAGTCTTGTGACTTCTATCAGTGTAGCAGAGCACTGGTTAAAGCTTGTAGGAGTTTTTCTTACTGCTCTAGGAGGATGCAGAACCCCTGACCTCTATCTGGACAGTGCCGATTGGCCCTGTGCTGATCACATGCACTCTCCCAAGAAAAAAAAAAACCTCTCTAGAAATACACACTAAACGGAGCATGTGCAGAATGGCTACCATTCAGTCTGTCTTATCAGGAGATAAGACGTGGATATCTGAACAAGAGGAGGAGCAGAGAAGTCAGGATCAAACAAGTTTTTTAAACAATGCAGAGGATTAATCTCTTAGGTTCCACAGTGAGTATAACAAGCATGCTTTACTGCATATACAGACTGATTTTACTGTTGTGGGCTTAGTAACACCTTTATTTAGCTGCATGGTAAAATCCAGCACATAAGGAGGCTAACGTGTAAGTAAGGCTGCTTAGCTGAAATGTGAAGTTAGATTAAAAATTTAAGTAATTACAAACATGTTTTATACTTACCTGGGCGGCCCCGAACCTCCTCTTCTCAGGTCCCCCACTGGAACTCCTGGCTCCAACCCTCAAACGAGTGCCCCATAGCAAGCATCTTCTTATGGGGGCGCTTGTGCAGGCTTGTTCCCAAGCCTCGCTGTCTGCTTCTATTGACACAGACAGCAGGACTCGGACCCCCCCCGCCTCGTTTCCTCCTCAGCTTTGACAGCAATGGCTCCCAATGCCTCTGCAAAACCAGTGAGACCAGAGAAGAGCTGCAGATGGGCACATCGCTGAATCGAAAAATCGAATGAGAGCTTAGATAAGGGGGGTGTTGAGAGGGAGATACTGATGCCTAAACATTATCATCTTAATGCAAGGAATGCAATAAGGTAAAAATGTTTAGGCTTTATAACCACTTTTAGCTCTGAGATACCATTGTGTTGCCGGCTTCCTCTTGATGGACAAGCAACTGATTTACTTTTGCACTATACTCAAAAATGTCTTAAAATAGGTGGCAATACCTCCAAACAGTGGCATACAGTATTTACAATATTACAGTCAACTCTGGATGCATATCCCCCGTCCCATGCAAGCCGCAGTCTAGGATTTGTCCAGCACTGGAGCCAGGGTGGATAAAATCAATGATTTTTTTTTTAAAAAATCAAAAAATTTTTTGATTTAAATCGTTTTTTTTTTTAATTTAAATCGGATTTTTTAAAATAAAATGCTTTTTAAAGAAAATATATTACCACCCAAAGGTTATTCCATCATGAAATAAAGATTAGTTTTTTAATTATGCAGAAAGTAAGGCTGTATATGTTTAATTTTTTTGGTAAATAAATTCCATGAATCCATTCACAATGTCATGCTCTTCCAGAGGTTTTTGTAACATTATTGGGCAGTTTCTCTGCCTACAAGATATTATCACAGATGATTGGTTTACTTTGCAGTTCTCAAAACTGAATTTGACTCAGCGGAGATCACATGCCTCTTCTTCACAGCAAAAATGTTATAACATGAACAGAGTTAAGAAAAAGACCTTCATCCTAACTTCTACAAACCTATGAATACAGAATCAACCCCTTCACTGCCAAGGTTCAAGAAGTTCAGTGAATAGAATAGAAACAATATTTTTCTGATTGTTTGGAGTGGAATAGATCTGCACAAGAAGAAAGTGAAACTAAGTGTGAGGAGGGAGGGGCTGACAGTGCGAGGAGGGAGGGGCTGACATTGTGAGGAGGGAGGGGCTGACAGTGTGAGGAGGGAGGGGGCTGACAGTGTGAGGAGGAAGGGGCTGACAGTCTAAGTTTCTTAAAATATATAGATTTTGTTTAGCCAAATTAGTTAACAAACATGGATGTTTAAGCAAATCACATATGCTGGAATGTTATTGTTTCAGTTAATAAATCTATTTAAATTGTTATTATTAAGGTAATTATTATTTTTCTCCTAAATACAACAGAAAAAGTTGTCCAAAAATATTAAACTGGGGATAAAAAAACTAATATGAAAAGTTGTTATTCTAAAAATCTTCATCTACTTGTATATTAAAGTTATACCAGCAAGAATTAGTCTTTATGTAGAAAACTAGGATTTAAATCAAGCCTTACTGACTAGTGATTTAAATCAAATCCACCCTGACTGGAGCACACCACTGCATCCAGCATTGCAAGCTACTAACCTGCAGTTCCCAGCATTTGTAACTAGAATTCCATTACTACATGGGTCACTGGAACTTGCAATTACTACCAATGTGATGCAGTCCACTAAAGCAAAATATCCGGCAGACATGAGCTGTGTGTTTTGCAGTTTCCCTGGAGCTCCAGATTAACTATTCATGATTCTGACACATTTTGACTATCCATGTGGCAAGTTACTGTCACGTTACAAGGTGTGTAATCAATTAGCGGTTAGCAGCGACAATGCACAGTCATACTATGGACACCCTGCCCTGCTCCAGAGGCTTTGCAGTGCCTTTTTGAATGACATGGTTCTAGAAACATTTTTGTGATATTAACTAACCTGATTGCTGGGCAGCTCATAGAAACTATTGGCTTCTACGAGAGATCTGAAAGTTTCCAGGAACAAGTCGCTCAGTGTCTGATGGATCACAACATTGGCTGCATTTCGGATGGGGGCGTGGAGCTTCTCCTTCAGCTCGCCATATTCTGTAGAGTTTAACCTGCAAGCACAAAAGGATAGAATTACATTCTCTGAACCTCCACATTGTACATTATTATTATTTATGTGTCTCCTGAAAGTTTTAGGGTCTGTACTGATGGGTCTTTGTACACTGCAGATGGATTTTGCTATTCCATACAAGTCTATGGGACAGGAAAATCCCCCTTTAAAAAAGTCAAATCCCATTTCAGTCTTTGCAGATGACACCAAGCTGTGCAGTGGAATAACGTCCTTACAGGATGTCTCCAACTTACAAACCGACCTCAATGCACTGTGTAATTGGGCAACTATGTGGCAAATGAGGTTTAATGTCGATAAATGTAAGGTTCTGCACTTGGGGGCTAAGAATCTGCATGCATCATACATACTAGGGGGGGTACAACTGGGGGAATCAATGGTGGAGAAGGATCTGGGGGTTCTGGTAGATCACACGCTTAATAATGGCATGCAATGCCAAAAAAATAAATGAGTGTACTTGTGAGCTACTATGGTGTTTGTCTAAACTATTACCATTAATTAATTTGACAAACAAAACAAAACACAATATATGATACACCTGTGGTTCACTGGCACTCACACCTACTCATTAGACAGTGTTCTGTGAGAAAATTAAATATATAAATTGTGCCGTGCTCCTGTGTACAAATAATTACAATATTCACTATTTCAAATGACAATCCAAAGAAAAAAAAAAAAAAAAAAGAGAAAAAATAATAAAATGATATATATACTTACAGTATATCTAGTGTATAAAATACAATTATCTTCTGCTTTATAACATCATAAATAAATACCGCATACTGTGCTGGTGACAATAGTAAATAGTGATAGCGATAAAAACAATATATATGAAAAACTGCTCATAGACAGTCCTCTTTCAGTTTAAATTATGATGCTGCAATGCCGCTCCCATAATCCACGTGCAGTGTGATTTTATTATGCGCTCACCTCAAAGCTGTGGTAAAATTCCTGCCTGTTTGCCCTTTATAATGTTTGGACCTAAAAGTTCCACATAAAGCCTACATATACGCTGACCCCCATTCTAAGCCCTATGCTAATTACCCTGTAAAGGAAAGATGCATAAAATTTACATAACCTAAGGGCGCTGAGGTTCATTCTCGTGGTCGGGTGCCAACACTGGCTGCAGGGGAGAGGAGGGGCAGTGCACAACGGATGCCCCATAGTAAGTCTATGGGTGATCTCACTGCCCAGGCTCTGCCATCTTCTCTGAAGCCAGCCTCTGGGGAGATCACGTGACTGGCCTGCAGCACCCTTATATTAGGTAAGTACGGGCATCTTTCCTTTACAGGGTGGTTAGCATAGGTCTTAGTATGGAGGTGGGAGTAGGTTTAAGCTTAGTTAGCTTTTGACTGAACTTCCACTTTAAGTCCTCTGTATCTATGTAGAAAACAGTTGTCATCAGACAGGCCTACAGAGATCTGCTACTGTCCTTTTCTCCATAATATGGGCAGGGTACTGTAGTCCTCAGAGATAACTAGGAACAGTGTAACTGATAAAGGTGCGGCACAGGCAGAGAGCACAAGAAATCAGGTGACAAGACTGCTGACAAAACCTACTGGATTGGTTTGCACTTATCAAACAGGTACTGTATAACAAAATGCTGTCAATGGTATATTTAAAGAAAAAAAGTCTCGCCACAAGATGAAAACGCTTGTCAAATCCCCTACAGGAAGCACTGCACATCACACTTGGCCCCATTCAGTCCTGTGCAGAGGTTGCTAAGCAGCGTGATCGAATAGCTCCCGCTGGAAGGCTGTAACTTCCCCATACAAACTCCCATAATTTGGGCTTCAGCCTGGGGTGGAGCTGCAGCCAGAACTACCAGAAATAAAAATGGTATTTTATTTGAAACTCCCTGAATAGATATGAATGGCACTAAGTGTGATATGCACTGGGTCCCCTGGGGAGGGGTCCTTCCTACCTGCACCTTGCATTTTTCACCTGAATAGGATGTGCATTGATCATGTAGTTTCTTGATATCATTTTCTGCTCTGTATGCACAGCCTGTAGTAGATTAAATCTGCACATTCATGTGTCAGAAATTTCTAGTAGTGCACCAAAATGAAAATTCTGGTGCCGAAACTGAAAATTCAAAATGCACTTGGCCAAAAACCGAAACCGAAAAGTTTTTAAAAATGAATTTATAATTTTTGGAAAAAATACACTGATAAAAAAACAAAAAAAAAAAAAAAACAATATATAGCCCAATTTTTTGTAAAATATGAAAGAGGATGTTACGGCGAGTAAATAGATACCCAACATGTCACGCTTTAAAATTGCGCACGCTCGTGGAATGGTGTGAAACTGCGGGGTACTTAAAAATCTCCATGGGTGATGCTTTAAAAGTTTCTACAGGTTAGCAATGTAAAGTTACAGAGGAGTTCTAGCGCAAGAATTATTATTATTGAAACTTTGTTTAAAAATTGTATTTAATTTTCTTTTTTTGCACCGTCCGTTTAAAAAAAAATTGTAATCACTTTTATTCTTATCACAAGAAATGCATGCATCCCTTGTAATAGGAATAATTAGTGACAGTTCCTCTTTATGGAGAGACATGGGGTCAATAAGACCCCACATCTCTCCTCTACAATGTAAAGCATTGGAGCAAAAAAAAGCATTGATCTAGTGCCGGAATGGGAAGTGACATTGCTCCGGTCCTCCAAGGGCATAGAGATTAGTGGTGGCCATCTTTCCTCCACTCATCTCTATGCCCAGCACCGGGATCGCCGGTTTCTCAGGTAAGGCTGAGAACTACCGAGTGGCGGTGGCAGGGTTTTTTCAGCACCTGTATCGGTGCTTTTTTTCATTTAGGCCAACGGCCAAAAGAAGTGTTTTCGGCTGAAACATTTCGGTGCATCCCTAGAAATTTATGTTTGTGTAAAAAAAATGAGGCATGGCACTGCACATGTTAATACATGATCTCTGTCTGTAGTGTGAGAACTGACACTTTCTATGAAGAAAATAAATATCCCACAATCCCTGGGTCTCTCAGTCCAGTGTTCTGCAGATGAAACCGACAACAACCATTCTTGATCCCCTACAGTCTGGCTTCCGCCCACAACATTCCACTGAACATGCGGTACTAAAACTCACTAACGACCTCCTAACTGCTATATAACCAATGGCCATTACTCCGTACTCATACTCCTAGACCTTTCCTTTGACACAGTCGACCACCCACTCCTCCTCAGTAAACTCCACTCCCTTGGCCTCCATGACTCCGCTCTCTCCTGGTTCTCCTCTTACTTTCTCAGTGCATTTCAGCATCACATACAACTCCTCCTCCACTCCTCTCCCTCTTTCTGTTGGGGTACCCCAAGGTTCTGTCCTTAGGGCCCCTCCTTTTCTCTCTCTATACCTCCTCCCTTGGCCAACTGATAACCTCCCATGGCTTCCAATACCACCTCATTGCTGATGACACCCAGATCTATCTCTTTACTCCCCAGCTCACCCCCTCAATCTCCTCACGTATCACAAATCTACTAAGCGACATATCAGCATGGATGTCACTTCACTACATTAAACTCAATCTTTCCAAAACTGAGCTTGTAATATTTTCCCCCCCCCCCGATCCCCCACTCATGACTTTACCATTAAGATCAACAGCACAACCATTGGTCCTTCTCCTCATGCCAGGGTGCTAGGCGTAATCCTAGACTCTGACCTCTCCTTTGGGCCCCACATCCACTTACTGGCTAAATCCTGCCGCCTCAACCTCCGGAACATTTCCAAAATCCGCCCCTTCCTGACCAATGACACCACAAAACAACTCATCCACGCCTTGGTTATATCCCGCCTCGATTACTGCGACTCCCTCCTCACTGGTCTACCGTTACACAGGCTATCCCCCCTTCAGTCTATTATGAATGCTGTTGCTAGACTCAAACACCTTACCAACCGATCAGCGACTGCTGCCCCTCTCTGCCAATCCCTCCACTGGCTTCCACTAACCCAACGTATAAAATTCAAAATACTAACCACAGCCATCCACAACACTGCCCCTAGCCACATCACCAACCTCATCCGCAGATATCGTCAAAATCGCCCGCTCCGCTCCTCCCAAGATTTCTTCTCTAGCTCCATCATCACCTCCTCCCACACTCGCCAGAGCCTCTCCCATCCTCTGGAGCTCCCTACCACAGTATGTCCGGTCAGCCCCAACCCTGTCTGCCTTTAGGCGATCTTTGAAAACTCACTTCTTCAGGGAAGCCTACCCCACCTCCACCTAAGAACTGTACTTGAATCACCTCCACTAGATCATCCCCCAAAGCTATCACCTCCCCCTTCCTTTAGATTGTAAGCTCCTCTTATTCCTTCTGTACTGATATGTATTGTTGCTGTACTGTCTCCCTTATATTGTAAAGTGCTGCGCAAATTGTTGGCGCTATATAAATCCTCTATAATAATAAATGAGAGCTACATAGTAATCAGATCTGACATAAATACTAGCAAGCAGAACAGTTGAAGCTGAATTCAAGGAATTCAGCAACTTTGCAAAAAGTGAAGGCATATTTTAATTTCAAGCAGATACACGTTGCCTCTGGGACTTATCTTTATTACCTATATGTGACAAGTTTATCATACTCCTGGAGGAACTACTCCAGCTTTGAGAAGAGAGAAGCGAACAGAGCAGCTATGCCCCCCCCCCTCTGTCCATTCACAGAAGCCTTTGCATTTTGTGAATGAGTTCACATAGTACAAAGGCTCCTGTGAATGGGCAGAGGAAGGGGAGTGGGAGGCATAGCAGTTCCAGCAACTCTGCTCTTCATGGAACTGAGACTCACAATGAGCAATGGAGCTATGGAAGTTATCTCCCTAGAGAACAATAAACCTGTCAGGCGTGAATAATAGAAACAAGTCTAAAAGGCGGCAGGCAACTCATTAGACTTAACTCACAGTACTCTTGCAGTTTTTACAAAGTAGCTGAATTCCTGGAATTCAGCTTTAACAGAGAAATCACTGTGCAGTCTTTTATCACATTAGCACTCCCACATTTGTGATGTAACAGAGGAAATGGTGAGGCATGGAACAAGACATTTCCCATCCTCTTAGCCAATAGGGACAAGCTAGGTGAATGAACATATGGACACAGGGGAATCTATCAGCCATGACACTACAAACTGCAGCAACAACATGTGGACCCATCATTACAAGGTAGGGCAAACAAACAACATAGGGACTATAACTACACTAATACCTAGTTCAAATAAACAAAAACTTTGAAAAGTATACAATCCCTTTATGGTAACCATTTTTGTCAGAGAACTGGATTGAAGCCAACATCCCAAAACCAGTGAAAATAAGCTTCTCCATCACCTGATATCAAAGGGCCGAACATTGGGGTTGACGCTTGCCACGCATATTGTGATGAACTGGATGGGGGTGTTGGAGTCCGGGGAGAGTTCATGCTGTCTAGACTCAGTCACAGTGAGGTGAATATCTTGTTGCTGGGCTATGTACACCCTGTAAGTGGTCACCTTCATCACCCAGGTGTCTGTCACAATCACTCGGGCTCCAGGAACCCCTGTAGCAAACTTATCAATTCTCCGGAATTCAGTGTTCATGGAAAAGGCCACGAATCTCCAGTTAGACTGGGGAAGGGTGTGATGGGCCAGGGTCCTGGCCAGAGGGTGATTGCTCCATTTCTTCTGTGACCAATGCAGAGCCAGGAGGCTGGTCAAGGTGGGAAGGGCAACCGCAATCAAGGCAAACACCTTCCAGCCTTCACTGGCCAAGTAAAAGTAATACAGTTGTTTCTCTGGAGCTGCAAAACACATTCCTATGTAATACCCTGGAGGAAAAAAAAAAAAAACGTTATGTTAATATTTGGCAGTGACTTAATTCGCCCATCAGTTGGCATACGTGGGGGCACATTGGGGCGGATGACACATGCGTGAAGGGACCATCGCCATTGGGAGAAGCCATCAGGGGCGGACGACACGTGCGGGAGGGACCATCAGGAGCGGACACCGATATGATCGCGGGAGGGGCCATCGGGGGCGGACGACGTGTGCGGGAGGGGCCATTGGGGGCAGATGATGTGCATGGGAGGGGCCATTGGGGAAGAGACGACGTGCGTGGGAAGGGCCATTGTGGGCAGACGAGGCCATTGGGGGCAGACGACGTGCTGGTGGCAGGGGCCATTGGGGGCAGACGACATTTAGTGCGCAGGGGGGTGGGCATCGGGGGTGGACAACAGGAACGTGCGGGGGGGGGGGGGGGCCATGGCCGATTGCGGGAGGGACCATCAGGGGGGGCGGACGACGTGCGTGGGGGGGAGGGGGCGGGGGACGACGCGCGCGGAAGGGGTTGTCGGGGGGGGGGCGTACGCCGCGAGCGGAAAAGGGTTGTCGGGGGGGGGGGGCGGTCAGACGAAGCGCGGGAGGGGCCGTTGGGGGGGGCAGACGACGCGCGGGAGGGGCCGTCGGGGGGGGGGGTGGCGGGGACGACACGCGGGGGGGCCATTGGGGAGCTAGGGGGGGCGGGCAACGCGCAGGGGACGGGGGCCATCGGGGGGGGCAGGGCGACGCGCGGGTGGGGCCATCGGGGAGGGCGGACGACGCGCGGGAGGGGCCATCGGGGGAGGGGGGGGGGCGATCGACACGCGGGAGGAGCCATCGGGGGGGCGGACGACACGCGGGAGGGGCCATCAGGGGAGGGGGGGCGGACGACACGCGGGGAGGGGCCATCGGGGGGGGGGGCGAACGACGTGCGGGAGGGGGCCATCGGGGGGGGGGTCAGCCGACGCGCGGGAGGAAGCCATCGGGGGGGGGGGGGAGGGTCGGACGATGCGGCGGGTGGGGCCATCGGGGGGGATTTGGGGTCAGACGACGCGCGGGGGGGGCCATTGGGGGGTCGGACGACGCGCGGGAGGAGCCATTGGGGGGTCGGACGACGCGCGGGTAGGAGCCATCGGTGGGGGAGGGTCGGACGATGCGCGGGAGGGGCCATTGGGGGGGGTTAGACGACGCGCGGGAGGGGCCATCGGGGGGGGAGGTCAGGCAACGCGCAGGAGGAGCCATTGGGGGGTCGGACGACGCGCGGGAGGGGCAATCGGGGGGGGGGGGGGGCGTCGGGAAGAAGCGTGCGCAAGAGGGGCCATCGGGGGGGGGGGCGGAAGCCACACGCAGGAGGGGCCATCGGGGGGGGCAGAAGCCACACGCGGGGAGGGGCCATCGAGGGGGGGGGCGGGAGGGGCCATCGAGGGGGGGGGGGCGGGAGGGGCCATCGGGGGGGGGCGGCGGAAGGGGCCATCAGGGGGGGGAGGGGGGCGGAAGCTGCGCGCGGGAGGGGCAATCGAGGGGGAGGGGGGCAGGGAAGTCGCGCGTGGGAGGAACCATCGGGGGGGGCGGAAGCTGCGCGTGGGGAGGGGCCAACCGGGGGGGGGGGCCGAAGCGCGCGCGGGGAGGGGCCATCGGGGGGGAGGGGGCGGAAGCCGCGCGAGAGGGGCCATCGGGGGGGGAGAAGGGCGGAAGCCGCGCGCTGAGGAGGGGGCCATCGAGGGGGGCCAAAGCCGTGCGCGGCTGGGGAGGGGACCATGGGGGGGGCGGAAGCCGCGCGCGGGAGGGGACCATCGGGGGGGGCGGAAGCCGCGCGCGAGAGGGGCCATCGGGGGGTAGGGGGGCGGAAGCCGCGCGCGAGAGGGGCCATCGGGGGGGAGGGGGGGAGAAGGGCGGAAGCCGCACGCGGGAGGGGCCATCGCGCGGGGGCAGAAGCCGCGCGCGGGAGGGGCCATCGAGGGGGGGGGCGGAAGCCGTTGGCGCGCGGGGGAGGGGCCATCGAGGGGGGGGGGCGGAAGCCGCGCGCGGGGAGGGTCCATCGAGGGGGAGGGCGGAAGCCCGCGCGCGGGAGGGGCCATCGAGGGGGGGGCGGAAAAGCCGCGCGCGGGAGGGGCCATCGAGGGGGGGGGCGGGAAGCCGCGTGCGGGAGGGGCCATCGAGGGGGGGGGCGGAAGCCGCACCGCGCGGGAGGGGCCCATCGAGGGGGGGGGGGGCGGAAGCCGCGCGCGGGAGGGGCCATCGGGGGGGCAAAAGCCGCGCGCGGGAGGGGGGCCATGTCGGGGGGGCAAAAGCGCCGCGCGCGGGACGGGGGCCATCGGGGGGGCAAAAGCCGCGCGCGCGGGGAGGGGCCATCGGGGGGGGGGGCAAAAGCCGCGCGCGGGAGGGGCCATCGGGGGGGCAAAAGCCGCGCGGGGGGGGGGCTAAAGCTTGCGCGCGAGGGGGGAGGGGCCATCGGGGGGGGAGGGGGGGGCCTTCGTGGGGGGAGAAGGGCGGAAGCCGCGCGGCGGGATGGGGGGCCATCGAGGGGGGGGCGGAAGCCGCGCGCGGGAGGGGGCCATCGAGGGGGGGGGCGGAAGCCTTTCGCGGCGGGAGGGGCCATCGAGGGGGGGGGGCGGAAGCCGCGCGCGGGAGGGGGCCATCGAGGGGGGGGGCGGATTAAAAAAAAAAAAGCCGCGCGCGGGAGGGGCCATCGGGGGGGCAAAAGCCGCGGGGGGGCCATCGGGGGGGCAAAAAGCCGCGGGGGGGGGGGGGGCAAAAGCCGCGCGGCGGGAGGGGCCATCGGGGGGGGGGGGCGGACGACGCGCGCTGGGAGGGGCCTTCGAAAGGGGGACCGCGCGCGGGAGGGGCCTTCGGGGGGGGGGCGCGCGGGGGGGGCCTTTGGGGGCGGACGTTGACCAGCGCGGGGGGGGGGCCTTCAGGGGGGGGGGGGGCGGATCGGACACACGCGCGGGGGGAGGGGCCTTCGGGCTGGGGGGGCGGTTCCGCGCGCGGGAGGGGCCTTCGGGGGGGGGGGGCGGCGCGCGGGAGGGGCCTTCGGGGGGGGGGGGGGGGGACGACCGCGCGGGAGGGGCCTTCGGGGGGGGGGGGGGAAACGCGCGCGGGATGGGGCACCTTCGGGGAGGGGGGGGGGGGGAGCGGGGGACGCGCGGGAGGGGCCTTCGGGGGGGGGGGGGGTACGCGCGCGGGAGGGGCCTTCGGGGGGGGGGGGGGGGCGGGGGGACGACGAGAGCGCGCGGGAGGGGCCTTCGGGGGGGGGGGGAGCGGGGGTGACGCGCGCGGGAGGGGCCTTCGGGGGGGGGGGAGGGGGGGTGACGCTGCGCGGGAGGGGCCTTCGGGGGGGGGGGGCGGGGGGACGCGCTCGGGAGGGATGGGGGCCTTCGGGGGGGGATGGATTTCAAGCGGACGACGCGCGCGGGAGGGGCCTTCGGGTGGGGGGGGGGAGGCGGGGACGACGCGCGCGGCAGGGGAGGGGCCTTCGGGGGGGGGGGGGGGGGGGACGGGACGCGCGCGGGAGGGGCCTTCGGGGGGGGGGGAGCGGACGACGGGGGCCGCGCGGGAGGGGCCTTCGGGGGGGGAGCGGACGACGACGCGCGGGCGGGAGGGGCCTTCGGGGGGGAGCGGACGACGGCGCGCGGGAGGGGCCTTCGGGGGGGGGGGGCAGAGGGACGACGCGCGCGGGAGGCGGGGCCCTTCTGGGGGGGGGGGGGGGGGAGCGGACGACTGCGCGCGGGAGGGGCCTTCGGGGGGGGGGGGGGGGGGAGCGGACGACGCGCGCGGAAGGGGCCTTCGGGGGGGGGGGGGGGAGCGGACGACGCGCGCGGGAGGGGCCTTCGGGGGGGGGGGAGCGGACGACGAGGCGCGTGGGGAGGGGCCTTCGGGGGGGGGCGGGGACGGACGCGGCGCGGGAGGGGCCTTTCGGGGGGGGGGCGGACGACGCGCGCGGGAGGGGCCTTCGGGGGGGGGGGCGGACGCGCGGGCCTTCGGGGGGGGCGGACGAAGCGAGGGCCTTCGGGGGGGGCGGGACGACGCGCGCCTTCGGGGGGGGGGGCGGACGACGCGCGCCTTCGGGAGGGGGCGGACGACGACGCAGCCGGGCGGGAGGGGCCTTCGGGGGGGGCGGACGACTTGCGCGCGGGAGGGGCCTTCGGGCGGGGGGGGCGGACGACGCAGGCGGCGGGCGGGAGGGGCCTTCGGGGGGGGGCGGATACGACGACGCGCGCGGGAGGGGCCTTCGGGGGGGGGGAGCGGACGACGCGCGCGGAGGAGGGGCCTTCGGGGGGGGGCGGACGACGACGCGCGCGGGAGGGGCCTTAGGGGGGGGCGGACGGACGTTTTGCGCGCCGGCGGAGGGGCTTCGGGGGGGGAGCGGACGGCACGGCGGGCGGGGAGGGGCCTTCGGGGGGGGCTGGACGGACGTACGCGCGCGGGAGGGCCCTTCGGGGGGGGGGGCGGACGACGCGCGCGGGAGGGGGGGGCCTTCGGGGGGGGGGGGGGGGCGGACGACGAGCGCGCGGGGGGGGCCTTCGGGCGGGGTGGGTGGGGCGGGACGAACGAGAGCGCGCGCGGGAGGGGCCTTCAGGGGGGGGGGGGCGCGGTGCGGACGGACGCGCGCGGGGGGGGAGGGGCCTTCGGGGGGGGGGGCGGACGACGGAAGGCGCGCGCGGGAGGGGGCCTTCGGGGGGGGGGGGGGGGGGCGGACGACGCGGTGCGCGGGAGGGGGCCTTCGGGGGGGGGGGCGGACGACTTCGGCGCGCGGGAGGGGCCTTCGGGGGGGGGGGGGCGGACGCGACGCGCGCGGGAGGGGCCTTCGGGGGGGGGGCGGACGTACGCGCGCGGGGAGGGGCCTTCGGGGGGGGGGGGACGACTATAGAGTACGCAACGACTGACGGGTCGCGCGCGCGGGGAGGGGCCTTCGGGGGGGGGGGGGGAGCGGCGGGACGACGCGCGCGGGAGGGGCCTTCGGGGGGGGGGGGGGGCAAAAGCGGGACGACGCGCGCGGGAGGGGGCCTTCGGGGGGGGGGGGGAGCGGACGACGCGCGCGGGGGGATAAGGGGCCTTCGGGGGGGGGGGAGGGGGGGGGACGGACGCGCGCGCGGGAGGGGCCTTCGGGGGGGGGGGGGGGGGATGGGCGGACGACGCGCGCGGGAGGGGCCTTCGGGGGGGGTGCGGACGACTCGCGCGCGGGAGGGGCCTTCGGGGGGGGGCGGAACGACGCGCGCCTTCGGGGGGGGGGGCGGACGACGCGCGGCCTTCGGGGGGGGCGGAACGACGGCGCGTCCTTCGGGGGGGGTCGGGAACGACGCGCGACTTCGGGGGGGGGCGGGACGACTGCGCGCCTTCGGGGGGGCCGGCGGACGACGTGCGCGCGGGAGGGGCCTTCGGGGGGGGGGAGGCACGGGACGCGCGCGGGAGGGGCTTCGAGGGGAGGGGCGGACTGACGAGCGCGCGGCGGGAGGGGCCTTCGGGGGGGTGGTAGCGCGGACGGACGCGCGGCCTTCGGGGGGGCGCGGAACGAACGAGGCGCCTTTTCGGAGTGGGGGCGGTACGGATCGGGCGCGCGGGGGGGGTGGGTGGGGGGGGAAGGGGCCTTCGGGGGGGGCGGTACGGGACTCCGCGCGCGGGAGGGGCCTTCGGTGTGGGGGCGGACGGACGGCTGACGCTGGGAGGGGCCTTCGGGGGGGGTGCGGAGACGAACGTACCGCGCGGGAGGGGCCTTTCAGGGTGGGGGCGGACGAGACGTCTTGCGGGTGATGCGGGAGGGGCTCTTCGGGGGGGCGGGACGGACACTACCGCGCGCGGAGAGGGGGCATTCGGGCGGGGTGGCGGAAGACGTCGCGCGCGGGAGGGGCCTTCGGCGGGGGCGGACGACCTGCGGCTGCGGGGAGGGGCCTTCGGGGGGGCGGACGAGACTGCGCGCGGGGGAGGGGCCTTCGGGCGGGGCGGCGGACTGGTCCGCGCGCAGGGAGGGGCCTTCGGGTGGGGGGGTGGCGGGCACGACGCGCGCGGGAGCGGTGCCTTCGGGGGGGGGGGCGGAGGACGGACGCGCGCGGCGAGGGAGGGGCCTTCGGGGGGGGGGGTGAGGAAGGACTGCGCGCGGTGAGGGGGCCTTGGGGGGGGGGGGGGCGGACGACTGCCGCGCGGGTCGGGGCCTTCGGGGGGGGGGGCGGGACGACGGCGCTGCGGGAGGGGGGCCATTCGGGGGGGGGGGGGGGGGTGCGGACGACGGCGTGCGCGGGAGGGGCCTTCGGGGGGGGGGTGGGCGGACGCGACCGGTTCGCGCGCGGGAGGGGCCTTCGGGCGGGGGGGGGGGCGGTCGACGGCGCGCGGGAGGGGCCTTCGGTTGGTGGGGGGGAGCGGACGACGCGCGCGGGGAGGGGCCTTCGGGGGGGGGGAGGAGCGGCCGAACCGGGCGCGCGGGAGGGGCCTTCGGGGGGGGGGGCGGAACGGACCAATCGGCGCGGGACGGGGCCTTCGGGGGGGGGGGGCGGACGACGCGGCGGGAGGGGCCTTCGGGGGGGGGGGGGGGCGAGGACGACGCGCGCAAGGGAGGGCCTTCGGGGGGGGGGGGGGCGGCGGACGACGCGGGGAAGGGAGGGGGCCTTCGGGGGGGGGGGTGGCGGACGACGCTGCGCGCGGGAGGGGCCTTCGGGGGGGGGGGCGGACGACGGCGCGCGGGGGAGGGGCCTTCGGGGGGGGGGCAGCGGACGACACGCGCGCGCGGGAGGGGCCTTCGGGGGGGGGTGGGCGTGACGACGGGCGCGGGGAGGGGGCCCTTCGGGGGGGGGGGTAGCGGGGCAACGTGGACGACGGCGCGCGGGATAGGGGGCCTTCGGGAGGGGGGGGGGGGCGGACGACGCGCGCGGGAGGGGCCTTCGGTGGGGGGGGGCGGACGACTGCGCGCGGGGGAAGGGGCCTTCGGGGGGGGAGGGCGGACGACTGCTGCGCGGAGGGGGGCCTTCGGGGGGGTCCTATGTTTTCTGCGGACGACTAGCGCGCAGGGGAGGGGCCTTCGGAGGGGGGGGGGGGGCGGACTCGTGGACTAGCGCGCGGGAGGGGGCCTTCGCTGGGGGGAAATTGGACGGACGATAGACTGCGACGCGCGGGAGGGGCCTTCGGGTGGGGTTTGCGGACTACGCGCGCGGGAGGGGCCTTCGGCCAGCAGGGGCGGAACGGACCAGCGATGGGAGGGGCCTTCGGGGTGGGTGCGGATGAACGACTGGCGGCGGGACTGGGGGCCTTTCGGGGGAATTGGGGGCAAAACGGACGGTCATGGGGAGGCAGTCATGGTAGCCTTTGTCTGAAGCCCCCAGGCGGCAGCTCACCCAATGGCCTAGCAGGGAATGGACCAGCAGAGTGGCCGTGTGGTCCTCTTGATGTGGTACTGGATGAAGGACTGGTCCTCGAACTGCCCAGCCAGCGGACAGCAGGTTCTGCACAGTGATCCCGGGCCGAGTGAAATTCATTGGGGTGAAGACGAAGCCACAGGCGAACCACCCACGTAGGCTAAGGTGAATGTAACTGCTTGGGCTCTCATTATAGCCGGGCACAGCTCGCCACAGACACGGCACTTCCGCCAGTTTTTTGGAGCGGAGGATGCCGGAAGTTGTAGTCTTTTGGACGTGTCCTGTAGCGCAAAGCTCCGATTGCACAAGGACGTTCCGGGGGCGGGGACAGGAGTTTAAGGCGCACTGTGATTGGACATTGTATCATCAATGAACACCTCTGAGAATTATTAATCAGGGAATAACGTAACTTTCACATGGAATTATCAGTTTGGAACAAACACAGTTGGGGCATAATAAAACGCGTGTGCGGGTTTAAAAAAAAAAGTATATAAAAACAAAACTATTCCCTGGAAAACAGACATGCGCAGAACGACCTACTACAACAAAAACCTGAGCAGAACAAGACGCTTCCCCAGCAGGGCAGGCGCGTTCACGCTCAGTTTCTCCACTCCGATTGGCTTTGTTTGTACGGACGTGATCATGTTGTCAGCGGAGTCCGCTTCTGATTGGATAGATTTCTCGAACTGTCCAAATTCAAATCCGCGGGATTCGGGAGCAGGAGCGGAGCGAGGCGTCAGTACAGAGGAGGGAGGATCTATTTAAATTATGCGGGCGACGGTGAGGCCGAAACCGGGCCGGGCAGGTAAGAGGCGGCAGTAAATTTGGTGAGGAGGTGGTGGGTGGCATGCTGGTGTGGTCAGTGGCAGAGCTGGCGGGATGGGCACTGTGACTGGCAAGTTGTTTCTGTACGCCATTTCTATAATATATTTCCTGTGGCTCACGTTGTTGTTGGTGATAATACAATTGTATGTAGGATGAGGGGGGGTCTCCACACACAGGGCCAGTTTTACTGTCCTTCAGAGCTTTAGGGGGCTGGACTTTGGCAACAGGGAGAGTAAACTATGCCACATCAGTGGGAGGGATAGCCCCTATTGTCGGTGTCACTGGGGGGGGGTAGTAGTTTCCCTCGTTGGTGTCACTGGGGGGGGGGGGGGGTAGTTATAGTTCCCTCGTTGGTGTCACCTGGGGGGGGGGGTTTAGTGGTTTGGTAGTTCCTCGTTGGTGTTCACTGGGGTAGGGGTAGTTCCCTCGGTGGTGGGTCACTGGGGGGGGGTGGGGGGTTTGGGTTAGTTAGTTCCCTCGTTGGTTGTCCACCTGGGGGGGGGGTAGTTCCCTCGTTGGTGTCACTGGGGGGGGGTTTAGGGTAGTTCCCTCGTTGGTGTCACTGGGGGGGGGGGGGTGGGTTAGTTCCCTATCGTTGGTGTCACTGGGGGGGGGGTAGTTCCTCGTTTGGTGGTCACTGGGGGGGGAGGGGGGTTAGTTCCGCTCGTTGGTGTCACTGGGGGGGGGTAGTTCCCTCGTTGGAGTCACTGTGGGGGGGGGTAGAGTTGAGTTTTAGTTCCCTCGTTGGTGTCACTGGGGGGGGGGGGGGGTAGTTCCCCTCGGTTGGGCGTCAACTGGGGTGGGAGGCGGTTCCCTCGTTGAGTCGTCGACGGTTTGTTTTACCCTCGTTGGGCGTTCACGGGGGGGGGGTTGTGGCGGTTCCCTCGTTGGGCGTCACGGGGGGGTGGGGGGGGGTGCATCGGGCGTTGTTCCCTCGTTGGCGTCACACTGGGGGGTGGTGGCGGTTCCCTTCTCTTGGCGTCACTGGGGGGGGGGGGGTGGGCTGGTTCCCTCGGTGGGAGGTTCCTCGGGCTGTTCACTGGGGGGGCGGGCGGGCGTCGGCGGTTCCCTAGTTGGCGTCACTGGGGGGGGGGGGGGTGGTGTGGCGGTTTCCCGCGTGGCGGTAAAGGGGTGGCGGTCACGGGGGGGGGGGTTGGGGGGGTGTGATGGCCGGTGTCCCTCGTTGGCGATCTCGGGTGGGGGGTGGGGGTGGCGGGGGTTTACCTCGTTGGCGTCACGGGGGGAGGGGGGGGGAGGTTGGCGGTTTCCCCTCGGTTGGCTGTCACGGGGGGGGGTGTGTTCGCGGTTCTCCCTCGTTGGCGTCACGGGAGGCGGGGGGTGGGGTTGCGGTTTCCCTCGTTGGCTCAGGTCACTGCGGGGGGGGGTGGTTGGCTTTTCCCTCGCTGGCGTCAACGGGTGGGGGGTGGTGGCTTTTTCCTCGCTGGGCGTCACGGGGGGGGGTGGTGGTCTTTTCCTCGTTGGGCAGTCACTGGGGGGGTGGATTGGCTTTTCCCTCGTTGGCGTCACGGGGGGGAGTGGGATGGTGGTGTGTGGCGGCGGTGGTGTTTTTCCCTCGCTGGGGCGTCTCGGGGGGGGGGTGGCGTTTTCCTCGTTTGGCGTCATCTGGGGAGAGGGGGGGGGGGGTGGGGTTTGGCGGTTTCCTCTCGATTGGCGTTCACTGGGGGGGTTGGCGGTGGTTTCCCTTCGGTTGGCGTCGCACGGGCGGGGGGGGGGGTGGGGTGAGCTGGTTCCCTCGTTTGGGGCGTCATCTGGGGAGGGGGGTGGGGTGGGCGGGCGTTTCCACTCGTTGGCTGTCACTGGGGGGGTTTGTGGGGTTGCGCGAGCGGTCTCCCTCGGTTGGGCGTTTCACGGGGGGGGTGGGATGTGGCGGTTCCCTCGGTTGGCGTCACTGGGGGGGGGGGGTGGGGGTTGGTTCCTCCTCGTTGAGCGTCACCTGGGGGGGTGTTCCCCCCCCCACCACTGTAGGTGTCACTGGTGAGGGGTGTGGTCCCCCATTGTACCCCCCCTCGGCAATTTCCACATTGGATGGGTGGTTGTTCTCTTCCATTGTTGGCGTCACATGGGGAGGGGGTTGGTCCCCCCCCCACCACCGTTGGTCGGGTCACTGGGAGGGGGTTGGGTCCCCCCCCTACCACCGTAGGGCGTCTCTGCGGAGGGGGTGTGGTCCCCTCCCGTTGGCGTCTCTGGGAGTGGGCTAGGGTCCCCGCGTTGGCTGTCTCTGGGAGGAGGGGGTGCGTCTCCCGCACCTCGTTGGCGGGTCTCTGGGAGGGGGTGGTCCCTCTCAGCGTTGGCGTCTCTGGGATGGGGTGTGGTTGCCCTCGGTTGGCGTCTCTGGGATGGGGTGTGGTCCCCCAAGGAGTACAGGTAAAGGGTCAGTTTAGCGAGACCACTGATGGTATATGAATTGGTGTTATTGTGATGTTCCTCTTCCCTGGGGCAGCTTTAACTGTTTGGTACACATACTTGAGCGGCTGTTTTCAGGATTTCTGGCACATGTTAGGCGCTGAACTTTAAACTAATCCCCCCCCCCCCCCCCCCCCCCCCACGCACAAACATTCTATATTTCTGAAAGCAGGGGCCCTTAAAAGGATTAAAATGGGGGGTCATTCGGATGGGTTTATCTATTATTAGGGATAATAATGCAAATATGTGGAATTTCAGTAAACATAAGAAAAAGAAGCTATATGTAACCACCTTTGCTGGCCTGTGGCCAATCACAGCAAGTCAACCAAAAGCTCAGCTGGTATGAATGGAACCCATTCATGACAGTTGAAACTATTGCTGTTAGTGGTCATCCTTGTAGTTACAGTGAAAAAAAAATCCTTCATCACCCCTCCTGAGTAATACAGTGACATTGAACTACTCTGAGGGAAGTATGTAAAAGAAATAAAGTTAAAAGAAAGTTTCAAATATATATACATTTCAAAAATCCATACTGTCACCAGTCCGTGTCCCTGATCACTGCCACACCAGACATATGACCATGCTGTACTGCACTGCTGAACAAATTCTATTGAATTTCCTCATTTTCCAGAAAATTGACAAACTACAACTTCAAAAAAACTTGCCATATTTCTTACTAAATGCCTCAGACTGTGTACATTCCAAAAGGGGTTGTTTGTACTGGGGGGCATTTTAGGGCTTCAAGAAATTACTTTTCTGATCAATTTTCAAATAAATACCATAGTTTGTAGACTAAAACTTATCACACAGACAAAATAATATACACTGATTTTCGTTTTTTTTTTTTTTTTTTTTTTTTTTACAAAAAAATGTAGCAGTGCGGCCCCAAACGTCCTCTTCTGGGGTCCCCTGCCAGTGCTGTCTGCTTCATTGGGGAGGGAAAGAATGTAATGCGGTCTGCTGTGCACTGCATTACATCCAGTGGAGTACAGAGCTGACATGCAGGACCCTGAATGTCTCAATAAAGAGAACCTGTCACCAAAATAACCTTTGTCCCCTATGTGATGAAGAAGAAAAGTTGAGTAAACATATATATGCATGTACAAATGTAAAAGCACACGCTAGGGCACCTACGCTGGAAGTCTGTGAAACACGTGGCATATTGCCATGCATGCCAGAGTAAGAATAATAATTCTAGTACCATACCTCCACTGTAACACTAAACGGATGACATAGAAGGGCTTTAAAAGCATCACCTATAGAAAATCTAGGGTACTAATGTTTGTCGCCATTTCACGAGCGCACGCACATTTTAAGGTTTGACATGTTGGATATCTATTTACTCGGTGCAACCTCATCCTTTATAAGTTACCAAAAAAAGGTAGTTTTTTGCTGTTTTTTGTCCTAGAGATTAAGTATTTTTTACTGAAATGTTGTGTTTCCTAGTCCTTTGTGGTAATATGTAACATAAATCGCAACTACTGCTTTTTTATCTCTCTACGGTCTTTGCCTTTAGAAAGTCCTGTTTTGGGGTTTTTTTTTTTTTGTAATCTTCAGGCCAAAATAATGTTTTTTTTTTTTTATGTGTACAAAAAACGCAAAAAAGCCCTGGAAGTAATAGGGGATAAGCCTCAGACTCACCTTTCCTGATGAGCACCCAATCGGTGCTCATTACATTGTGAGGTCTTCTTTACCCCCATCCCACTAGTCCCTGGGTATGGTGCTGGAGACAGGCAGGGAGGGGAGGAGATAAACTGTAGAATCTAAAAAAATATTAGACATTAAAGGCCTTTTTTTTTTCTTTCTCTGGACAAGTAGATTGGGACCCTGATTTAGTCCCTGGACAAGTAGTTTTTTTTTTCAAAAATTTCCACACCACTGCTTTAATTATACTTTATTGGCTTGGAGCTTACAATCTAAGGGGGGGGGGACTGGTGGTAGAAATGGTAATAACTGGGGGATGGAACTGATAGGAG